ACCTTCATTCAAACCTTGATTGACGATCCGTGTAGCTTGGCTGGACAGTTGGTTCACTCGTTTGCCGATATCATAAATATTAAACGACCCAGAAATGGATTCTGCAGTAAGCTGTGGCATTAGGGATGGTTTACCGAATAGGGTGAGAAAGAGTTTACCATCCTACGAGCAGATTCAAACGAGAACCTAAATAGTTTGAGAACCTGGAAACCAACTATTTATAAATAATTCATGAAGTAGCTGGTTCTCAAAATATTAACGGTTTTCATTTGAACTTTTTCTTGCCATACTATCATTCAGTTTGTGCTGATCACTTGGTTCGTTTCTTGTATAGGCATTTTTTCTTCTTCGATAGGGGAAACGATCTATAGGGAGATACGGTTGGCGGAACTTCTCTCGTCGGACGTCGAGAGGTAATTCATATTTCGTATCGATTTCCGAAACTTTTCTCATCTTTTTTCAATCCTTGTTTATTTTATGTAGGGATCAAATTTGGTTGTAATTGCCTTCTGCTGCTACTCACAGAAGCATTTATCAATGAACACTTTCATTGCTATTCTTGAAACCCCAAATGTTTTTGCAGGTTATATCTACTGTTTTACTTGTATAACCATCGTACTTCATGCTTTGTTTTGAGTCAAAGTGTAAAGTACGATGGTTACATATGTTGTTACCTTTTTATAAGGTTAAAAATGGAAAAATCTTGAAAAATGCGGCAAAGTGCTCTATCGTTTTCAATTTTGTTCACAAGTTACGAATATTTTTAGATAACAATAACATTTTAGATAAAGGATAGAGGATTTTATCTGGTAAGAGGCATGACAAGTACCAACAATCTTACCTGATATTAGAGGGTGGTGACTTTACCCAATTAGCGCTTATATGTTAAGTGAGAATGATCGACTCTTACAGGTAAACGCTTACCTGATAAACGTTTGATAATCAATCCCGACCTCACTTGATTTCCTACTGATGCATTATAAAAACCAATTGATCAATTGATTTAATTTGTTAAACGAATTTACAATCTACCAAAACATGATTGACTTGCACTCAACTGGAAAAAAAACGTTCTGCATTTCGTATCATATCAAAAAGCCCTCATCGGAATGGACAATGAACAAAACCTGAAATGAGTACACGCAATTAACCTCGTGGTCTAGCACGTTTTGGTAAGTGTCCGAAAAAACAATGTATTTTCATGTTTTAAGTGATTAAGTTTTCTCGACCTTTTCTAAATTGATAAAATCCAACGAATTTTTATATTTTAAAGCGATTAAGTTTGACAGAAAAAATTGAACGAATGTTTCGTTATACTTAAACGAAAAAAAGATATATAATTTTCTCTTGATGTATCAATAGATCAGCCTTTTATTCATTTTAACATTAAAACGAGAATCATAAAAGAAGATACAAATTATTTAATTTTCAGATTCAAATGAAATTATAAATCATAACAAACACATGTGATTGTCATTTAAATATGAAAAATATATAATGACTAATAAAAATGGTATATTCATTCCATTTTATTGATTTACAGTAATTTCTTACTGATCTGTCTATACATCAAGATAAAAATGATAGATTATTTTTTCTTTATATTTAAAAAAATGTTCAGGTATTTAATTGCTTAAAACATGAAAATCCGTTGGTTTTGTGTTTTAATAAATTTAAGAATTTATACGTTCAATTTAATAAATTCAAAGATTTATTTGTTTGGTTTCAATACTTTCAAGAATTTATTTACTAAAAAAATAGTCAAAAACTTAATAATGTGATGTCTGATTGGTTTGAACTTGGCTCTGAAGATCAAAAGTACCTGGAGGTCCCATGTTCAAATCCAAGGAGGAATAAAAATCTCCGTATGACCACGGAGGTTCAAATGCGGTGACTCCTGACTATTTGCAAAGCAGATGGTCACCCTGTAATTAGTCTGTTTGCATAGCAGTTTGAATATCTAGATTAATAAAAATAATAATAGGAATCAATATATCTCATAACTTGTAATTTATTCATATTTAAAAAGCTTATAATCAATGAAAATTACATATTTATTATTTTATTTATTGTTATCTATTTGCTGTAATAAGAAAACTGAAAGTAAAATGCTATAATAAAAAAATTTGTAGAGATGGATTGATATTTCACGTATTTTTCTAATTTTTGGATTTTGTTTTTCTTTTATTTTTTAATAAAAACGAATATTTAATTATTTTTCAAAAAACTGAAAAGTGAAAATCCGATTGATCTTCGTTCTCCCGTTGTCTACTGCAGTAAAAAGCAATAATGTTAATGCTGATCAGATCATCGGTGATTCCCGTCTTCCCCAACCTCACTCGCACTATCACTCTCTGCAACTCCACTCGTTCTCTCTCTGTAGCTTCTTACTCGATCATGGCCACCGCCGCCGTCGACTTTGTCAAAGCCAACGTCACGCCTAACGGTGTTGCTGTCATCACTCTCGATCGCCCTAAAGCTCTCAACGCCATGAATCTAGGTTACATGTTTTCTCCTTGTTACATCTCTGTTAATTGATTCCCTTAGATGATGGAGGAATTGAACAATCAAGTTCGGTTATTCGTAATATATCTATGATAGATTTGCGCACTAAAATATATATGTTCCCTGTTTTGGAATTTGATTTACTTGAGGTGTAATCTGTGTATTTGGATCTGGCTATGCGTACTTATGCATCTATTATGAATCCTTTTGATGAACTCTATCTTTCTAGGTTCTAACTACATGATTTGTCACTCCCCTAAGGTTGGTGAATATTCTAGTTCGGGTTGAAGGAGTTCTAAATGCATTCAATACATTAATGAGAATAGATCTGAGGTCCTAATTGGAACTGAGAATAGATTTCGTCTGCTGACTGCAGATATGGATATAAGGTACAAAAGTTTGCTTGATGAATGGGAAACGGATCCAAAGGTGAAATGTGTTCTGGTTGAGGGTAGCTCGCCACGTGCTTTTTCAGCAGGTATCACGAATCAGTGGGTTACTTTTCTACTATAAGCTATCGTATCCACTTCTGCAATCTTCTTATACCTCCTTGACACGAATAGGCGGATAATATTTGGTTATAAATTGTTGCCTTTTCATCTTTTAGAATGTCAATTTCAACATGGGTGTTATGGAAGGTTTCAAGGATAACCATTTGTGGTCATGCAGGAATGGATATTAAGGGGGTTGTTGCTGAAATCCAAAAGGACAAAAACACACCTCTTGTGCAAAAGGTCTCTCAATAATGTTCATTGTGTTACAAATGTGCTGTTGTATGAGTATTGGCTGCAATTATGGAACTTGCATTGTTGCCACTAAAATGTGTTGCATCTGTTGGATAGCTGTGTAACTGACTTCACTGCCTTATATTAATACCTTAATAACTGATTTTCTGTTTGGTAAGGAAGTCTTAGTTCATTTCTCTATCCGTGGGTGGTGATGTGAAGCAGCCATGGCCATCAAATAACCGTCACAAATGATTGAAGTTACGTATCCCCTTCTTGAAGACCACGCAAACTTAGCATACACAATTAATCCCCTAAACCATCATTATGTTTTTTTCCAGCTTAAGTCAACCTCCAAATATTATGAATGGAAAAGGTAAAGGAAGAAAGAAGAAAGGCAACAACAAACAGAGAAATCTGGATATTATAATGGATCTTTTTTAATTGATAATTCTGTATCAGTGCACCATATGGAGTGTACCTTTACATTTGTATTAATTGCAGAAGTACCTGAAAACAAGTGGGATGGGGTTTCTGCTAATTGCAAAAGTTGACAACCTTTTACCTAACTAGTTTTGAGATGAAAGCTTGTTATTGTTGACAATTTCCCACATAATACAACTTTTACGTAAATGTGTATAATTGGTTTCTTTTGTACTAATTCTGATGCACTTAATATTGCATTGTGTCTGTTTTCTCATGAATGTAATCTGTTATGGGAATTTCCTTTTGTCAAGTCTTCCATGATTCTACGGACATTATAACAGTAGTATTTCAACCTCTTTTGCTTGTGGTAGGCATGGTCTATTGCATGAGATTTGGACCTTAGAATGCTGGAGCAGATTTGCAAGATGTTTAGGCTTGTATATGTTGCCTAGGGACTGAAGTTTATTCTACAGGTGTTCGCTGCTGAATATTCTCTTATTTGTAAAATATCTGAGTACAAAAAGCCATACATAAGCTTCATGGATGGTGTAACAATGGGATTTGGTATTGGCCTATCTGGACATGGTAGCTACAGAGTTGTAACTGAGGTAAGCTGCCTTTCAAGCTGACAACAATATTGTGGTAGAACTTATAGCAATCCTAACCATATGTTGTACTTTAATGATTTCTTGTAGAAAACTCTTCTTGCTATGCCAGAAAATGGAATTGGTTTGTTCCCGGATGTTGGGTTTGCTTACATAGCAGCAAAAAGTCCAGGGGAAGGATCAGTTGGTACGTTTGTTCCATTCTAGAAGCAAGCATTTCTGATTGTAGTCCTATGCCAGTATTGGTACTTACACTTACCCTAAGATATTATTCAGCTATAAATTATGAAATATCATTAGCTAGCCTCTTGACCTTAGAAATAATAATTTGATAACTGTGCATACTTTTTGGCATTTTCAGTTCTGAAAAGTTGAATTTTTTGTAGACATTTGAAATAGTGATTTGAAACTTTAATATAAGGTTTAGTTGGTTTGATTAGTTGAACTATAACAATGCCCTCTCCCTAGTGTTATGAGTCCAGGTAAGAAGAAAAATGAAACAAAGTTAATTTGTCATAGCAGCTCTAAGTAGTCTGCATAGGATTTTTGTCAGAGACTGCAGATGTGCTCAAAGAAATATCAACACTTTGTGTACTAGCCTTCAGTTCTATGTACCACCAATATGGTCACTCTGCTCCAACATAAAGAGATACATTTAGAGTTTTCTATATCAAAGCTAAGACATTCCAGTTACAGAATTGGATATGGCTTTTGTTAGAAACTTTTCATTCCAATTGGTGCATAAAGATACCCTGATTGACATTCAACACGGACAACTTTCCGGGAGAGACAGACTAACTAGTATATGAGTTTGCTAAATGGTTAATCTGTCTGTATGTCAAGGAACACAATTTTTTTTAATAATGCAAGTCAATAATATGTTATGTTTCCACCTTTTGTTTTTCATGTTGTTGAAAGATGTCTGTTGTGCACAGGTACTTATCTTGGAATCACGGGAAACAGGATTTCTACTCCAGCCGACGCACTTTATGTAGGTTTTGGAACACACTTTGTTCCATCTGGAACTCTGGGCTCACTTAAGGAAAATCTCTTGTCAGCTACCTTGTATATCTCTTACAATCCCATTGTGTTCATATCTTGCAATTTCAGATATACATCTTAACATAATGATGCATGAACTACCATACACTTAAGCTCTTTGTTGCTCAACTAAACCATCTTCCGAGAAATGTTAACATTGTGCTTTTCTGGGAATTGTTGTACCTTTATATGGTTAAGTGAAAAAGTCTTGAACATCAGTTCCTCTGTATGTTTGTTAACGTCATCCTGAAGTTGCATAATGCTAGGCCTCTAGCATTCCTATTGAACATGTTCTATCTCTTATGGTCCATCGAAGCTAATTCTATATGCAACTTCTACTTACTTCTACTTAAGTCTGACTGTCGTGCACCAAGACTCCTTGGCTTTGCAAAGCGTGGGGACAGAAGTCTCTATGCAACCTTTCCTTGCATTTAAGCAAAGAGATTAGAACCCTGAGCTTCTGGTCATAGAGGAGTAACCTTCCCAGGTTGCTCCAATGTTTGCCCCTGTATGTGATCTGCTAAGCGGCTGTTTACTACCTGTTGACCGCCTCTTACTGGGTAAGAGGTGCTTACATGGTAAGAGGGAATGTTGTTTACAACACAATCTGACCCACAAATATGCTGACTGAGATGTTAACCTAGTAATGAAGGGTTGCTTTCTGACTCGATCAGTGCTTCAGTCAATGCTTACCCAGACACTTGGTACACAACCATTTTCAGTCAGCACTTACCCAGACCGAACCTCTTATCGATGCCGCACTTTTACTCTCTTAGCGCTTACCTAATTTGTTTTGGTAAACGGCCCCTAAGGATGAATGCTTAATTCTTTATATGGTAGAAGATTTTAGATGATGCAGTAGAACAAATTTGACATAGTTCAAGTGTGTATTTAAAAGAAAACATATTCAAGTGATTATGTTCATGCTTATGTTTGTGATACTTAAACAGTTCTGAGGATCCACATCATGATCTACAAGCAATATTGGCAAAGTACAGTAGCAACCCCGAGTCAGAGTCTCGGTTGAAGTTCCTCTTGCCTCAAATAGTCTCAACATTTGGTGCAGACAAATCAATTAAAGAAATAATGGAAGAGCTGGAAAAGCATCGACAAGGTGCTGATGCAACAGGTAGGATACCTCCCTTATGTGTAAATGGCACTTACACGGACTTTATCGGTGCTTTATAAAGCTCATTCTTCGTGACAAAAATAGCTTATATTGTGGGTCTCTCTAACAACTGCATCGCTGTTCCTATGAGCAGTTGCAGAGTGGGCAACTGATTCTCTTCTCGGGATTAAGAAAGGTGCTCCATTTTCTCTTTTCCTTACCCAAATGCATTTCTCTAGAGTTGCCTCTGCATGCCGAAAGAACGAAAATGAGTTATCCCGGGTGAGTTTCCATATATTTGTTCATTTAATGCTTTCCAGTGAGGAGATTACGACATATAACATTGTTTGTTATATGCCTACTTTTTGTTGTATATAGTTAAATGGTGTCATGAAAACCGAATACCGCATTGCACTAAGGTCTTCGATTCGAAGTGATTTTGCTGAAGGGGTTAGGGCAGTATTGGTGGACAAGGATCAGGTTTGTTATTACCTCTGAAAAACTTCTAATATAGCATTTGCCTCCATTCCAGAAAAAGGTTCTAACTTTTAAATTTATTTGAATTGTTTAATCTGCTTTTAAAACAAAAATATAATAAAATCTTTCAATTTGAACTTTTGAAGGAATAATTGCACTTGGCCTTTTATTGAAAACAATCATTGCTCTTGTGAAAATGCCAAAAAAGGAAGATTATTTGGCAAAACATGTCATATACATTGTTCTCTTTTTAAATTTATGGGGGGCTTGGTTGGGACTTGGGAGTAAGAAGTGGCGGGGAATGGAAATAGAAATCGTTAATGGTGTCTGATTTGATGCAATGGAATGAGCGATTACCTGGGTAACGAAGCATTCCTTAGCAAATTGGGAATGAAACTTATTCTCTTTTCCGTTCCCATTCTTAGTTTTATCCCGAAAACGAACCAAACGCCCCCTTAGATTTCTAGAATTTGTTTCAAAATCGAGCATTTTTGCAAACAATAAAAAGTTCTTTTCACAAGATTGATGGTCATCTTGTAAAAGAAAAGCCAAGTACGGACTCGTTTGAATAATCAAAGGTCATATATTTCTTGGGACGGAGGGATAAATTTTATTATTTAATTGGTATTAGCCTTTTCGTCTAGTTAGTAATCTTAATACATATGTGCATTATCGACATGTTCGTCTTTTTATTGAGCTGATATGGTGCTAAAAATTGAATAATTTCGGAACATTTCACGGTTCTGCTAGTTTTGATTATATATATTCATGAATCGAAGTATGCAAACCTAATGTTTGGTTCCCGGAATTCGAAGGAATTGGATGGAATTGAATGACAAATTACTTTCACCAAATTCCAATTCCTTTGTTTGGTTCATTTCTTGAAATAGATGGAATCCTTCAAATTCCATTGAATTCCGCAAATCAATGAATTCATCATTCTTTTGGCATAATGGAAGGAATTTAATCCCATCACCGCCCATCTCTTGCCCCCACCCCGACCATGCTACTATTGTTCATCATGCTCCAACCCTAACCCCACCACCACTACTGTCGCCGCCACCCCACCCCACCCACCCT